CTCCATTAAACTTTACGTCATTCAAATGTTCTTGTATTAGGTTGGTTATTGGAGTATTGTTGTACGAGTATTCATTTAGTGATAGACCTCTTCTCTTCATGTCAGCCAGTGAGCTATTGATGGCAAGACCCAGTGCCCATAGCTCATCATACATTGGATTGGAATAAAGATTACCATTATCATTGATAACATACCCACCAGACAAATAATCCTGTACAAAGTCTTCTGATTTTATCTTTTGTAGTTCATCAAGATACTCTTTACGAAACTGTCCATAGGTTCTACCTGATACAAGTACATCATTGTCCTTGTTATTGTCTAGCCTGTAGTTCAGTATCAGTGACATGTTCAGTGCTTGAATGAGTGAGTCCTGAGTGCAGAAGGACTGCTCCAGGAGTAGAACCTCATTGTAAGTTAGCAGTTGGAATATCCAAGCATAGCAAGGCCAGATTAGCCCTCTGCTAAAAGCTTCACACATCAAATGAGACAAATCATCCAGAGAAGATATTGATGCAAATATGATACGATTTGATTCTGCTTCAGTGAGATCAAGTGCTTTGTGTATGAAGATCGGACTACTCCTGATTCCAATGATCTCATGTTGTATGGTAGTGTTTGATAGAATATCAATAAAAGCATCAGTAGTTGATTCAGTGAGTACATTAGCCTCACTGTATAATAATGTTATTTTGTTCCATGAAAAGTGTTTGATGAGGGACATGGTCGTATGTACAAATATCGTTGAAGAAGGCAGCAAATGCCAAAGACGTCTGTATTTGCCAGTATCTCTTAATAATGGAGAAATTGATAACGAGAGTTGTATTATGTCAACTTCAGGACGTCCTGCGATTGGTGATACAGCCTCAGTGACAGTGGAGCACACTAATCCTGTAACTGCAATTACTTGGTTACACATTTTATTATTTACTGCATAGCGGACAAAGTTAGAGAGACCAATAGGAGCAGTGATACATCCACAAGCATCAGATGAAGCCTCAACTAGTGATAAGTTATATCCTGGTAAAATATCAGCTCTGTTGTTCATTTCTCTAGCGGCAATCCTAGCAGCTGGTAATAGTTCAATACCATTGGACCAACCTGAATTAGGATTGAAGTCAGGATAAGGGACCAATACTAGCACAGACAGTTGAGTGATGGCATCTGTTTTTGCTGCAGAGAATTGAATCGCTGAAGATAAGAAGAGAAGAATAGCCAGAGCTGCCAGCATACTGAGATATGATTGGTTATGATTTGGTTGTGAATGGATCTAAATAGTGATAAATGGATAAATGATTTTTATAATGTATAAATAATTACTGTATATCACCCAAAGGAATCAATAACTTCTCTCATCAAAATGTAATTTTAAAGTTTGAAATGACATAGCCTAAGAATTGCTTTTTAGTAGGCTTGTTACGGATAGTCCAGTAAACTATATCTCCTGTACAGATTGGAATAAATTGTGTTCAGTCATCATGTTATTGTTACTGTTGAGTTGTTAGTAAAGTAAATAGTAATATGAGCTTTTGATGAAGTGCCATTTGGCCAAAGTCCCTGTACTATAGTACAGGGACTTTTAATCGATTTTGGAGCAACTTTAAAAATTCGTAGAAAATCTAATTTTCATCAGAATCAGCCCAAACTTTCTATGCAACATAAGTACATGCATATGCATCAGAAAATGTAATAAAATTGAGAGTTTCTTCTTTTCAATTTTCCCTGTACAGGACTTTGGCCCAATTTTGAAGCAATTCAAAGTATAAATGCAGTACTAAACACAGGCCATGAATTACATGACTATGAGATTGTGTATAGCTGTTATTTGCATCCTCAAAAGTGCCACTGCTAATGTGTACTAATGATATCTATTTGCCCTCTCTAATTTATTGGCTGCAA